TAATTTTTTTTTTCGCTACATAAAAAAACAACCAGGAATGCCTCTGATATCCACACTCCCAGTCAGAATTACATCATTTTTTCTCCTGTGCAGACTCTTGACCTGTACTTTGCTAGTTCATGCTCTGGATTTTGGGGCTTGACAGCACAAACAATGTTACTGACAACACAAGACACAATTCCTAGCAATAGGGGACAGTCTGTGCAATGAAGAAACTTACCATTTCTGTGATCTCTGCAATGTCTTCCCTGTGTTCCCAACTTGGGAACATATTAGTGAAAGTCAGAGGTTCAAGGCCAGCATGAATTAGATAGGATTTTGGGGGCTTCTTTACATTCTTTCCTAAAAAACAAAGAAGAAAGAGAAATTACAAACAGTACCATATTTTGCAATGTCACCTACTATCCAAAGGGATCTCATTAGTATGTTTAATTGATTCTTTCCTGAAAAGCTGAAGTAAGTTAAGGCAGTAGGAATTAATTTCACCAGGATTTTTTTAATGTAGCATGGTACCTTTTAACATGTTTTACAGTTCCACTAAATCTGTCTTTTACTGTATCTGATCACAAGGATCAAACCACATCTGCTGAAAATTCCCCACATTTACTTCCTAACTGAATGGATTTCTTATCTTAAAAAAACAGAATTAGAATAGAGTAAGCAGAATGTGATGACCTGAAATTAACCAAATTCAGGTAAATGAAACCTTCTGGTGTGTTCAGAAGTGTCCTGCCAGCAGCAAACAAAGCTGATGTTTGGAGGCCTAAGTGAGAATGTTGAAAGTGTTCTTAAGGTGGGATACTGAGGTCTAACACAATCATTTTGTTATTACAAATTTGAAGGAATGGGATCTGAAAGTCAGCAACAGTATTGCAGTAGCTAGAGGGTTATTAATGATGACTTTGAAAGACAGTCCTGTGTCTTTAAAACATGCATACTATACAGGACATTGACATAACCCTGCCTAGGAGTGATGCTTTATCAGATTAAGTGGTTAGAGTCATTATACCAAGAACTGGTGAAAAAGGCCCTGTTGGTTAAACTATTTAATTCCCCAAGGATTCAAAAGTACTGATAAACTCCAATTATTATTGGAGAGAGACAGACAGGCAGTCAGGGACTGGGAGGGGCTATATTAAAAAAAAAAAAGCTGTACCTTTATCTTACTTGGATTTAAACAACTTAATCTAATTAAATGTTTCTTCCAGCTAGGCAGTGGAAAAGCTGAAGATATTGCCAAGTCCAGAATTGGGTCAAACTAACAGAGCAAAATGATACCACCTCACTTCAGAGGGCTGTAACTTCCCTAAAAATGACTTCTTGCAAGATTCTGTTATTCCCTACATTCCAACTCAGAGCATCTTTAATGCACTAAGACTTCCTCCAGAGCATATAAATTCATTACACAGGACTCTTTTTTACTGTAGTCCCTACCTGCACTTCTGTGTGCAGACTGCCAGGCAACATGGTCTAAAAGAACACAGTACCCCAGGAACTGATACAACACCTGTACTGAATGCAAATGGAGAGCCTGGCTGGACATCCTATTTCCATCAGGTCTGCAAAACCTCAAAGTCACAGGTTTGGCTTTCATCAGATGTTGGGAGCAAACTGATTAGGGGGAATATGCTCACATGAAACTAAATGCTAGAGGTAAAAGCTCTGTGAAATAGTCTAACAAAGATATTAAAATGTGAGTGCTTTAACTATACAGGAGATTTATAATTTGAATATTTGATTTTAAGCCTTCTCTTCCACATATTTTCACTGTGGCTTATTTGTTCATTCTAACATGAATGATTCAACAAGCACTTAAAAACTTTGCATTTAAAAAGTATGTGTGAATCTGCCCTAGTTGCACTGCACCACTTTCAGTAATTGAGCAAAGAGATAAAAGGAGTGTGGTGTTTGCTAATGTTCCAGTGTAGGTAAAATTTTTTAGTATGTATGTGGAGAAACATTTGCAATGCATGAACTTGGCCCTCAGCACAAGGTGATGCCCTCATCACTGAAGGGGAAGGATGGAAGAAAGGAAAGGCAGGGACAAGGGGAGGAGAGGGACATAGATGAGGAAGAAATGGAGGGAGAAAAGTAAGAGAAAAGCATTTTAATGCTTCTGATCACTCAACTCTATTCTGGTAGTCAAAATAATTCCAGCAGCTTTGGTATCTCCTGAAATTCAATTTCTCCACCTTGATAAGTAACAACACATGGGAGCTAGTCAGCCCTGACAGCTCGAGGCAATGAAATTTTGAAGTGGCTGACAGAATCCCAGATCATGAAAGTAAGAGATCATCAGAACAGCATAGTTAGAACTGTGAAAAACTGCTAAAGAAGGTGGCATCAGCTTTAGCATAGAAACAGTACAAGTAGAATTGGTCTTTAACAGTAATAAACTTGCTCTGTACCAATCCAACCACACAACCCAAAGCTCTTGAGAACTACCTCATGGCAACGAGGATAAAGCCACAATTGCTGCAAAGTCATGGCCAGAGGAAAAGAGCACTCAGCAAAAAAACTTGTGCTAGGATACATATGCTAAACTTCAGACCCATAAGGAGTCACTGAAGAGCTTTCTACTGTGCATCAGACTCAGATGCAGCAAATTCAATCCAGTGCAGAAGGTATTAATCCATTTTCCCATCACTGAACTCTGTGAAGTTCAAGAAATCTGGAAAAGTATCCAAACCTCAGCATGTGTATCTGATTCCATCTCTGCTGGGGCCAGAAAACCTGATTTCCATTACCAGAAGATTACAGCACTGCATCAGGGACACTGAGACAGGGATCTTACTTCCATCTCTCTCACTAGCCTGCTGAGCTACTCTGGGCATTCCCACTGCATGGGGCTCTGTTCCTCTGTGCTGACATTCACTTCTGCTGTGAAGCCCACTGTATGTAATGATCTCAAAGAAATGCATCTCATCACTCCTGACTCCCAAAAACTGGGGGTGGTGAAAAACAAGTAACTGCCCTCTTCTTTAAGAATTCGGCAGTCACTGCCAAATTCTCACTCTTCAAATTACTATCCTGTCTTTAGCACCCCATTTCTAAACCAATACTATTGTTTGGCAGAGCAGTGCCAGGGATACCAGCAGATGAACTACAAAAAGCAGTAATACAGCCCAATAAAGGTCACGTTTCAGTGTCTCCAGTATTGCTTTTCAGCTGTCTCTTCCCCTCAGTGACAAGAGACAACTGAGTCGAAACAAAAGACTTGCTCCTACTCCTATTCAACCTGCAGATTTGGAAAGGAGAGACTGGCTCATCCTCATAAGGGTGGAATCCAACAAGGATATTGCTTTCCCTCTTCAAATATACACATTTCTATGGGAGAAGATGAGAGATACCACCAGCTGTGTCACAAGTTGTAAAGTTTATTTGCTACAGAAGAAATCAGTGGCATCATGAGGTCTGAAGGTCTGTAAGTGATCAGACTTTCCTTGCAAGAGAACACAGTTTGCACCAATAAAGTTCTCCTGACTTATTCACAGTGGGAAGCTGCTCTGAACTAATAGAACATGGCTGTTACTTATGCCCTTTCCTGGATGGTAATCCCAAACCTTTCTTTCTTTACACTCCATCAGAAGACGCAAGGTCCGTTCCCAGCCTCACATAACCTTACATAAAGTGAGACGAAAGTATTACGATGTCTCAGGGAAACTCTACTAGTGCAGAAAATACACTGGCCAGTGTACTCTTAAATGATCACCAATTGGAGCTTGAATCACAGCACACTGAGTGGCAATAACTATGTCATGTAGAAATGAGGACAGAGCTACAGCTCTGGGCTCCAGCATTTCCACTGACCACTTATTTCCGTGTAAGACCTGTTCCCAGTCTTCAAAGTCTTTCCACCTCCCCCACTAAAACCCAGTTACATCAGCAAACAATGTCTTCATTTAGTCTTTTGATACACAGAAGTTTCTAAAATCTAAGAGGAGCTAGACAGAAAGCACTCATGTTTAAGAGACTGTTCTCAGAATTCACTTTTACGGATCTAATTTCTGAATTATTCTCCCACAGTGGGGACACAGAAGAGAAATAAAGTGTTTCCTCTGAGAACTGAGTCAGTGATTTGGGAACAATGCCATTACTACACAAATGTTTTGCTAAGGAAGAGCAGAGAATACAGTGATGTTTATCAGGGTCTTTGGGGAAGCACCTCAGTACCTTTCAGCTAGTGACAGTAAGGCATGGGAAGGGAGGACACACTGGGAACAGCCAGGCACAGCAATCTGTTACCTTTGCAGTACCGGAGCACTGTCTCCATGGCGCATTTCCTGTCTGTAGCCCACCTGATTCGAGCTGATCCAGCAATTTTGTTTTCCACAGGCCACCAGCCTTGCCACAGGTACACTTCGTGGTGATTGTCAACCAGGAACAGTGCTATGCAGCCAAAAAACGAACAAATCCATCATCAGCCACATTTTAGTTCTTGAAATGCCCTAAACAAACCCAGTCAGCATCAGAACAGGATCCTTTCAAAGCTCACCAATCCCTTTTGTTATTCATCCAGCTGATCCTCAGCGGAACTCAGTGTCTCATATAAACATGTATTTTTATAGCAAGCTTTTGGGAGACATGTATGTTTGATTAGTTATCAGCATCTTTATAATGGAAAAATTACTATTACTGCTCAATGCTATCATGCATCATCACAGTCACACATTTTCCTTTGATAAATCACGTTAAAAATTATTACAGTTACTGAATCACTGCTCAATGCAGGGAACACCTGTTTTCATGCTACTTAAGTGTTTTAAAGCATATACCTGGCTGTGGGGCAGTGTAAAGATCCTCTTGCAAGAATGGCATGGAATTGATGACAGCAGGGTCTCTTGAAGGGTAAACGTACTCCGTGGCTGAGAATTCTCCTGATGAACTACTGAGGCTGAACAGGCGGGGGGTGAAATTAAACTTTCCAGGATCTTTAAAGAACAACAATGAAGATTTACCATAGAAAATGCCAGCGATACATAGAAAAAAAAAATAATTCAGCTTTTAGAGTGGCAGTACATTGTCTGTTTTTTGAAAAATCAAGGAAGACCATGGGATACCTTGGGGGGCTAGCAACAGCTGTCAAAACTTGGGCTAAAAGACTGGCTGCTCTAAGTGTGCACCTGATCCTGGCTAGGATCAGCCATTTCATAAGGGGCTCTTTTGCAGCTGAAGTGAAGCAGATCCATCTCAGAGTTTACATTTTAGTTGACAAATTTTCCGTTTGGTTAATCAGTCCCCCTGCTACCTTTGCTGGCAGTTGCAAAGCAAAGACTGGACAAGAATGCATGCAGAACCACCCCCTAATCCCATCAGAAGAGAAGCACAATGTGTTGGTAACAGAGTTAACTGCTGCTGTGTGCTGCATGAATACAGAGGGGCTGCAGAAGGGGCAGAGAACAAATTGAAACACTTTGTTTTCCAGCGCTTTCCTTGTAGAACAGTCTTAACTCTGCAGAGTTAAGTAAGTTAAGATCTGGAAGCATCTCTCTGAAGAGATCATCTCAACTATCCAGAAGTTCTTAAAAAGCTTTACACTACATCTTACAATACTGTAGACCAGTAAAGTGAGTGCCATAACCAGGAATGCAGGTCTACCTTGCAACATGCAATCGTAGGCCTTTCGATCTCTCCTTCCTAACGCGTCCCAGAATCCCAAGGGCTCCGACCCTTCATCACATTCATGTATGGTCACCTTGCTGCTGCTGTGCAGTCCTGCCTCCAGTGGACACCTACAAAATGCACAGAAAGATCGTGAACCCAACCTTCCTGCCCTGAACACAGCTAACACAAACCTGCTGACTACTCATATTTTAGAACCCAAAACCACCCCATAGGCTTGCTGCACACTTCATGTCAACATAGGCTTTTTGAGAATTATGACAAAAATTATCAACAAACAAGACAGATTTCAGCAACCAATTTCATAGGATTTCTGATCATATACCCAGAGAGGAGGAGATGCTCACGTGAGCTCACAATAGGGCTTCTCACTGCCCCTGTTCATAACTACTGCTGCCCTCCTCACACACTTTCTCAGATTTATTTCCTTTTCCATATTCACAAAGCTTGATTCTAATCCTTCTATCAACTGGGATTTAGTTTGCTGTTCAGGTATTGAACACCTCCATCCAAGTGGAAAGAGACTGGTTTTTTTGCAACTGTAATTATTACAGTAGGAAGAATAAGTGCATTTGACCTTAAGTGAAAATGATGACAGAACATGGTTTTCCCACTCCACCAAAACTACAACCTGTTATGTCTTCTCCTCACCAAGCATGCACATATTGCAGCTGTACTCAGATAACAGCTCTATAGCTTCATTTTTAAAAACTTTTTTTGGAGGCAGACTATTTAAAGTAAACGGGTAGCCTGTGTAAACATCTCCAAAATATAGGTCAGACACTCACTGTTCTTTTATTTTATTGGCTGCTGTTCTTCCTACATCCTTGGTGTGAGACTGTGCTTTGCAGCCATGCCACAGGTAGATAAGAGCTTTATTTATATTGAGGACAATCATGGATGTCCGGGAACGCAGGCTGCTGCAGTGACATGCTACTTCAAGTAAGTTTCCTTCATTGGCAACTTCTCCTCGCACGCAATATAGCCTCCAGTCACCTGGAGCAGACAGGAACAGTGCAGCAGCATTATACAGAAACATGGGATTGAAAATTCAAGACCTCTGCCCTGGAACAGCTGTTCTCATACTAGATGAATTTCACATATCGCATGTCTACATTGCCACAGAATAAACTAGCTAAGCAGCAGGTTTGGCTAACACATCTTGAGAACTCCTGTTGCAGAAAAGATGCCTTATGAAACCTTTCTGCAAGTGTTGAGAGCTGATGAGGTTAACAAAGCAAAAGAGTCAAGTTTCTGCTTTTTTTTTGTGCAGGAAAAAAAGGGAAACAAATACAGCAGTCCTATTCAGCTCCTCTTCCCCTGTACACCTTAGGCACAGGAGGTCACATTCAGACATGAACTGCAACATGTCCAAGCTACACCCAAACAGAAATTCTCCTACCTCAACTGCAGTATTCCAGAACATGTTGCAAAAAGTTATGAATGGGTAACAAAAGCTTGGAGTTCTCCTTGGTGCAGGAGAACTGCTAATAAAAATACTCTTTTGCCCAGACTGTGTAGAAAAGAATGTATTTTAAAGCAAACAGGCACTTTGCTTAATTAAAAACCCAAATAGAATAATTTATATGCGTATCAATACAATTAAGTCAGCTTGCTCTAGGGTGACAAAATCCATTCTAAGCTCAAAGAAGAAAAACTACCTTGAAACAAAGCATGGCAAAGCTGCCTCATGGGTTTTATGCCACTCATTTCTATTTTCTACAGAGCATAGTGGCTGACACTGAATTCAAAGCCCTTTGCAGTAGGTAAAAAAGGATTTGGGGGCAGAAGCTCTTAACTAACAGTAATTTACTTTGTGCATTTTCTTCTTCCTCTTCCCTTCTTCCAGCATGCACAATCATCCCTCCTTGGAAGCACTGCAGGAAGCATGGTGGTTCTTTCCCTTGAAGCACTTGTACCTGGAAATTAAAAGCACCACTCTTCATTGAAACAACAAAGCAAATATACAGACTCAGGAAAACTAGTCTGTAGGCATTATTAAAAATGTTATTGTTATGGCCACCCACGAAGATAGCTTCCCTTACACTTTGCAACTGCTGACTGTTGTTTAAATTACCATATAGATCGGCATGCAATGGGTTTCATATGTGACCTGCATATTAAAAGAAACCTCTAGTTGGAATCCAACCATCAATAGTTTCAGAGGAGAAGGAATACCAAATAAACTTTAATTTAAAAGAGTTTAAAGTAACCATTATTTGAATTCTTTACAGGACTGGGCCATCTTGCCAGATATTCTTTGAAAGTATTATGAGATACTGTAGGAACTGAGTAAGTTCACTATTTGAGGTCAACTGGTTTATGTGACAATATGCATATTCTTTACTCATTAAGCATTACATTTTGATTATGAAAATGATATAACCAATTGTTAAATCAGCTGTGTTGCACAGCATCCCATACTCTCGGTGTGGAAAAGTGGTTCTTCTTCCCCACATAACTCTAAACAAAATGCCTTTTAAGCCAGTGAAAGCCTTCTGCTGATTATGCCCAGCTGATGGACCAAAAACTAGTCCAACACTGGGTCAAGTCTATTTCCTTTATGAAGTCCTTTATGAAGTCTTACTTGTTATGTCTACTCTGCTGTTAAAAAGTAAATACAGCATTATCCAGTTACAGAAACTAACTTTAAGCCTCCCTTCTTGTGTGCTGTCAACAGTCAAGCTACAGCAAAGCCAAACTCCACCTAAAGACAAAGCACAGCTAGACTCTGAGCTTCACACCATCTGTATCTGCAGTTGCTAGAATCTCTGCAAAACAAGGCAATCTACTCTGTAATTACAGAGTCAACAGATTGAAAAATTCAAATGTGTTTTCACGCCTTGGCTGACAGAAAGTGCTGCTCCTGTTCTCAGCCCTAGGAAGACCATCCTGTTACCTGAACATGTATGAAAGGGAAGACACAAAAGTGTTTAACTGTGCTTCACCTATTCCTGCAAGGAGAGGGAAGACATTCTTCAGGCATTCTCAGAAACAATATTTTTATAAGTCAGATTTGGGAGTGACAATCCATAAAAGAGCTTACATGTCTCTGGAAGTTAGAATAAAGCCAACATTAATTTTGAGGGCAGGCTATTTGTACCAGCAAGATGACCTTTACAGAAAGAGAGGAAGCAAAAAAGGTCACCCAACATTTAATGTTAGTGGCTACTTGGGCAGGAAAGTCTTACCAGTACTGCCACCTAGGTCTGCAGGGTGCTCACCTGTGCTCCTCTCTCTTCATCAAGTTCCACTGTCATCAGGGCAGATGTCCCTTTCTCACTCACTGTGGAGTGCCTTCCTTGCCAAAAGAAATACACACATTTCTCTTTTCCAACAGCTCTTACTTGTTGCTCTCCCTTTTGCCTGCTTCCAACTGCAAAACAAGAAAGCACTTGCTGAAGAAAGTACTCTGGCTATACGCTTAAACAGCACGTGGTTTAATCTCATCTGCCAGCTCAGCACTATCCTGTCCAGAACAGGAAAGATAAAAATTCCAATTGGAGGAAAACTAGGTCTCCAAGCCAGTACATCCCCATGTACATTGTCTCCTCAGGTGGATGTAAGCCCACAGGCAGAGATGTCTGTGTTGGCCAGAGAAAGAGATTTAGAAAGAACTGGTATTATCTGGAGAAAAATAACTGACATCATTTGAGCCAATCTGCATGTGAAATGGTATGTCCAGCCATGTTACCAGATGAGTGCATTATGGCTCATTTTCCACATTACACACTGTTCTTTGGCAGCAGGAGAGTAGATGGCTGCTGAGGGACACTGGAAACAGCAACAGTTGAGAAAGCCAGAGGCATGAAAGGCTTTCTTGGTAAAGTGATATTAGAAAGGAAAACTACAGAACAAAACACCAAAGCAGTATTTTGCAGTCATAAAAAATTTAGGATTAGATAAGCTATATTGATTTATTTCTAAAAATTAACTTAGCATTTCATGTTAGTATGGAAACTGGATTAGGAGCAACTCTTTTTTTTCTTTTATTTTCTTTTCTTTTTTTAAAAAAAATAATCAGTATTTAGTTGTTATAATAAGCAAACAATGTTTACAGCAGGTGAAGTTCAACAATACAACCAGTTACAGAATATTCTGCTCCTTCCAGTGAATATTCAACATACACATATATATTTAAATAAAATATTTTAAATAACCAAGAGCTTTAAACCAGATTCTTAAAAAAATATTAAAACTTCTGCCCTGATTTCAGCAGTGCTAAACAGCATCCAAGTGAAATACTTAGGACAAAGAATCCTGTTTTTTTTAAAAGTTGAGAATACTCAAACCACTAGCCAGTTCTAAAATTGATGGGTTTTACTTATCTGTACATTTAGCCTATAAAAGTACTGCCTCCTACATAAAATTTTATTCTGTTTTGGAATGATGGAATATATTTTAATCCACTTGGATTAGAAGTCTGTTTACAGTTCAGTATTAGTATTACCCACTTCTCCCAAGACTTACAAGTATTTTTCTTGGATTTGCCAGTATTTGAAACTCAATGATCCTGACTTACTTACATTTTTTGGGCTAAAAGCCTGAAGCTGTATAGCTGTTATGCTGCTTTCAAGCAATTTTAATATTTTCCTATTTGGAACAATCATTTTTACACTATTTCTATTTTACTTACCACAAAAGCCACCTATTCTTAGTTTAGTGCCAAAAGGGAGAGTTCCAGAGAGCATAAATAGCTGACTGATTCTCAACATTTACCTGCTGTTCTCAGGCTCTTTGTCAGAGCCTGCTCAAGTTTTCCACTTGAAACTGAAACCTGCAGTAATGATTTTCCAGAAAGAGCAAAAAGGCAGCAAGGGCACTGAGTTGGCAAGGCTTTTCCTGTCATTGTTACTGTTCTCCATTACCCAGCAAAGGCTTTTCTTGTTTGCTAAGCCTACCTCTCTTGCAAGACATTCAGACTACTGTCACCACCCCAGCTGCATGGCTATTTTGGTGCTAAGCTGTGGGCACAATTCTGGCTTAATGTGCACACACACAACACCACTGTTGGGTAAAAGCAGAGATGGACACTATTACGTTTGATGTATGAAGAATCACTAGAGCCTTTTTTTTTTTAAATACTGTCTTTGAAACAAAATAATCAACTCTACTTCTTAATGGTCGAGGAAGGCTGAATTAGTTTTTCTAACCTTTGAAAGGTGTTTCACATCCAAGAAAGCCTAGGTCTGGATCTCACCATTAAGAGCAGCAGCTTTAACTGCACTTCTCCACGTGCAGCAGGATGAAACGGAATTGTTCACTAACCTGTAGTGCTCACCATGTACTTCCACTTCACCACATACGTGTCTCCCTCGTGGAACTGCCCTATGCTTTGCTTAGGCAGTCTACTATAATCAAATTCCAGGATGTGCCAGACATCCACAGATGCAGTGATAATTTCAAATTGTCTCCCATCTTCTCCTTCGACAAGTCCATAGCCCCGGCCAATATTAATTCCATCCAACACTGTGCCTACAGTCGTTTGGGGCACAGCTACCATTAGCATGACATCATATGGTTTAGAATCAGATCTGGATTCTTCCTGCCAAAAAACACACAAGAGATTTCTTTCAGCATAGCTTTTTTCTTCTTACCCCACAGTTCCACTCAAATAATTTGACTCCTGTGTATTTCAGTACATCAATATCTTGTCATCATTTAATGACTTGTGAAAGCCACTTTGACAGTAGTCACTGAGCTGCTCATCACTAATATAAGGCAACATTGCAGGTTCACTCTAGGTGGTGATGTTCTGAACCCTAGGTCAAAGCCTGCAAGATAAAGAAAGTGCTCTGGATCCTTGAGAACAAGCTTCCCTGGCCTCCATCCCAGCGAGGTCATTTAGTTTGAAATACCTAGCATGCTTATTATATGCACCTTCTGGTGAAGGGATTCACTGGAATTTTTCTCATTGAGTTTCTTCAGCTCTGTCCAATCAAGAAATTTTTCTTTGAACAGTATAGTCTCGTTATGTTCTGTGAGTCTGCCAAACACAGCCCAGTCTGGGCGTCCTTGTCCCTTTCTGTACAAGACAAAAACAACAACAACAACTAATCAAATTAAAAACTGTGAAATAAGTATAGGAAAACTAAGTACCTGCAATGAGACTAAATTAAAATTTTGATACCTGGGTATGAGGGGATTGCATTCTCCTGGGTCCAGAGGATTTATGTCACAATTGGAGTAGTCAAAGGTGCCATTCCACAAGTGCTTTGCTAGCTGGAATGCCACTTTTCTTTGTGCTAAAGTAACTTCCTTTCCATGCCATACATACACTTCACTGCCAAAATCAAACACCAGTACCTATAAAACAAACCAAACAAAAAAACCCAAAACAACAATCTACCATTAGGTCAGATGATACCTGATCTTCCAGTTTCCTACTGCATAACGCTGAGAGTGTTGAATACAAACTCCTCCAAATAGCTGAGTTTTTGCAGCGACACTAACACCCAGCACTGCAGTAAGGCCAGGGCAGTGGTCTGTGCTGCAACATCTAATTGTTGGAGATGACTGGAAGCAACTGTGGAGAACACTATGAGGTGTATCTTTAGGGGGTAGCTAGGTCACTAGCAATAAGAGCTCTTACTACTAAAAACCCAGCTATGTTGCATGACTGACCTGCTGTCCAACTACAACAGCTTTCACTGCCATGTAGACCTATCCTTTGTCCTGCAGCTGGGAAAGGCTGACAGAACATACAGTGTAGTAACTGACTCAGCAAACAGGCAGCAACTTGAACACTTTGAAGTAAATGTCTTTATTTTGGAAATTTGCTCTCCTTCCTACTTAAATGGGTGAAATGGTTGTTTGAAAGGTAAAAGTCTGTTAAGGATAGAACTAAAAATGCTTGAAAGAGAAAACGGGTTTTTATTTTGTTTTTCTGAAGTGCTACCTGTTTTGCACTTCATGGCTTCGGAGCAAGCCACTGTTGGCAAAAAGATTTACACTTCCTAAAATAATATTTCACTTTAAAAATAACATAATCTAATTTTTTGAGACTCCCAGCACACTCTAGACAGCAAGGTGCTCAGAAGCTTTTCAGAAACACAGAGGCCCCAGTTTTCAAGTGAGCCTCTCCATGAGCATTTACATTTACTAGAAGTCGTCACCAGTTGTATGTTCCTGCACTTCCCACAGGAGCAGTAAGTGGCACGATACCTCTTTTGGTTGTAGCAGGGTACATTTTGGCACCTTCCCCCAGTAGTCATCCTCAGGAATGAGTTTATCCTCTACCAGGCGGTAAATGCAATTTGTTTCTATTATTGCAGCTTCATACATTTCATCTTCTTCAGGACTTCCAGCAGCTTAAGGAAAAATAAAAAGAGATTTTAACATTCAACTATCTTTCTACTAAAAGAGGATCAACTCAACTCTTTACTGTGAGAATGCATCAAATATGGTAACAGCAAGAATGCTTACACTGGTAATTTGTCTGTCCACCAAGGAGTTTCCAGAAGTCTTTGGCTGCATGGGTGTGGGTATTTATTCCTTCTTCTATAGTCTGTATGTAAGAAGCTCGACAGCCGAGTTCCCTCTTTGTCTGAATTAAAGTTGCAAGTTCTGAAGCCTAAGAGAGTAACAGTTACCTGAACAGGACTGCTAAAGTCTTTGCAATAATTGTGCCTATCTAGTTCAGGGAGAGGGCAAAAGTAGATAGGATATAATAGAGCAAATATCAGGGCAAAGAATTATTACTTGTTGCACTAAAGAAAATGTTACAGAAATACATTCATTCTTTCATTTGCCTTAAAGCAAGACTCAATCTTAATGAGCACAGGAATAAAAAGGACATCCTGCAATTCAGACTATTTCTTGTTTGAGTGCAAATCTGTTTCCTGAGGATATCCTCTTTTCTCTTGCAGCTTCAAAACCTACATGCTCCTCTGTCAGCTTTAATTCAGTGCACAGGCTAAAACATATTTACAGGAATCCTGCATATCTACCTGTCACTGACTCTCTGAGACAACTGGCACCAAGGCTTAATTACATTAGAGACATCTGCTGTGACAGTTCTAAAAATAAACAATAAAAAACCCAAATACTACTAACCTTTGCTTTTTCTATTACATTTGCAAACTCTCCTACCCATAAGAAACACAAATGTGGAGTTAACAACAGGAAACAGTCTCCGCTGTTGAGTGATGAGGCCCTTGGTTCAACTAATCTTGTTTGAACATGTCTTCTTCCTAAAGAGAAAACACAGCTAATTATATTCCTTTGACTACTGCTATCAAATGCCAAGATCTAATTTGTTTTGAATGAAATACAAACAATCCAAGCACATTTAGCAAAATATATGGAAATTGACTGCTAAGAATTTAAAAACTACTGAGGAAAAAGGGTTTACTCACAGGAAGCAAAAAACCCATTGCCTCCTATCAACTACAATTTCTATTATTTCCCATTATTGCTTTAACAACTTTGTTTACTTCTAGATAGAAATTAAGTAAGTAAATGGCAGCCAGCAGCAAAATTCTAGAAGCCTTCAGATTTGCTTAAGTGAAGTTAGGGCATAGTTTCTGTAGGCAGTACAAAGTTTTCAGAATATGCAGTCTGAGCATACCTTTAATTTGCAGCAGCATTAGCTTCTTGTAGGGCACAGCACTGTTGTTAGAGTTCTGCTCTGTTAGATTGACACTCCGCAGGCTAACGTTGCTGAAGTTCTCTTTGCTCGCCAAGCCAGCAAGTGCTACTTCTGAGAAATTTGAGTTTGTAGACACTTGTACATAGGAAGAAGTTGGAGTCAAAACACACACACAAAGAGAAAAAAATATTTAGAAATGTGTTGTTACATAAAAATTTATTTCCCCCCATTATTTCCAGTTTTTCTCCTCAATAGCAACAGAAAAACTAGGCTGAACTCAAATTAACTGCCAGAGGAAAAGCTTTGTCTGTCTAGTAGTACTAAATTTCTAAATATCATCCAAGAGTAAACTGTCAGTGTCAGAATTATGTCACTTGGCAGAAATACCAACTTTGCTAGGAAACATCTTACCCAATGTTTTCTGAAGTACTGTGTAGATCTTAAATTCCTTAGTCATGTTTTACTGTGAACTCAAAGCCTACATTCTTGGCTACTTCTGTGTATTTCTCAACCAAAGACAAAGCACTTGATGACTTTATAACTCAGAGAAACGCTTCTCATCAAATGGCAACAAAGTATTACACAAATAATTAATGTTTTCATCATACAGGCAATGCTTAAAGATAATCTCCCTTTGTTCAAATGTAATAAGGAAAACCAGACCCCAAATGGTAAAAGTGGCTTGACAAACCTTTGAATAATTTTTACAATAATCTCTTGCTATCTTTCCAGTTGTTAGAAGAAAGCAACAACAGAAGTAAAATACAAAGCTCTGCCACAGAGTACTGATCCTTTATAAAAATTAGTATTTGGGAGTCAAGAAGGCTAAGTCCAGTTTCTGAGACAACTAGGACTCAAAACTGAGGCCAGTGTACCTGAACAAAAATTCATCTAGTCTTGCAAGCTCCCCTCCAACATAACAAAATGCTACATCTGCTTTCCTTCCTCTCCTGTCCTCACCCTGCAGGCAAAGTGGCACAGTCTCTGCACAAGGTGACTGTCCTAAAAATAATTAAACGTCTGCACAGGACATGGCTGTAGATAGTTTTCCCTGAGGATGCACACATGCCCTTCTCTCCAGACCTGCTAGACAGCCTACATTCAACCTTAGACCTCAATCGATTTATTACCTCTTGGAGAATATGTTTCATTCCTTCACTTGTAGTTTTTGTGTTGGGATATTTGGTTTTATTATGTTTTTAATTAGAATAGCAAGACAGTGTCTTGTACAAATCATCCTGCTAGCTTACTTTTTTCTACTTTCATTCGCTTTGACTCCATGAAGGCAACATTCAGTCTTTGTTCAGTATATTCATGAAGAATATCTTCTCTTGCTGCCAGCATTTTCAGTGGGTTTCTTGAGGACTGGACTCTGCGTGTAGGCCTAACTGCACGTTTGTGTTCTGCTACAGAAGATATCAACCTGAAACACAAGCAGTGTGTAGAATTATCAGTTAATTTTCCTAGTCTGAATCATCTAATTACAAGAGATTTGCTTTGATTTTGCGTGTGATGTTTGTTAGGAAATCAGGATCAGTTCCTTCATTCAGGTAGAAGAGTGACTTCAGAAATATGTAGAATAAACGGACATGCCCAAAGCTATGACATCTACAGAGTGACTTAAAGCTGAACATTTTGACCACCACCCCCATGTTTGCATTTGTAACAATGGGGAGGGGTTGGAAATAATAAAAGGGAGTTCTTACTTTGGTGCATAAGGATCAAAGATGGCATCAAAATCCTCATCAAGATCCAAAGGCACTGAGGAGGAAGGAAAATCCACATGGCGATAAAATTTGGAAAACGTTTCATCATCATCCAGCTTCATCACCTCTTTCACAGATTTCCCTGTAACTGTCAGCACTGTCTCTTGCATCCCAGCAACTGCAGGAAAAAAACATCTCACACAATAAATAATCATACTAGAGTTTCTAACTCTAGAACACATTTTTGGGGGTAGTGATGTTTTGGTTTTTGTTGGTGGTGTTTTTGTTTGTTGTTTTTTGTGGTTTTTTTAAATTGATGGAATTTGAAGGAGAGATGGTAGAAACGTCTGTTGGAAAAGAACAATAAAACCAGAATGTAACTGCTACTCACATGCAATAGTTGTTATTATGAAACTGTTGGGAAACATTGTTGAAAAAGTATGGCATTATAAAAAACTGGGGGTTTTGGTAGCATTTTATGGTCTTGCATATTCTACCTTGCCTCCAACCACATAATCCTTCCTTTGAAAAGATCTACTGGAGCTACAAATTGAAAAGTTACTATTCAGACTAGTGAGCATGGCTCAATCATTACCCTACGCTCGTGCCTCCTTTGCTGAAATGTGATTATGTTTGTTTATGGTTTTGACACTCTAACATTATAAAAGGATTTTTGTCTTATAAATGAAGGACAGATGTATGAGATGGAAACACCAGAGGACTTCAGACAGCTTCATTAGTAGCCAACAAGCTGTATGAGCTGCTACTGAGAGTCAGTTTTCAAAAAAGCAAGAAGGTGAATGAATTGTGCATGGGAGCAGCTTAGTGTCCTACCTTGACTTTCAGAAGATTAAACTACTTTTAAAGCTGTTTCACTGTATATGGCAATATGGTTCAGACTGGCTGTGTCCTTTAATCAGTTTTGCTCACAGGATAAATGTGTACATCGTATGTAGAGAAATAGGAAAGTTATTTTGGCATTTGTGATTTTTTCTATTGTACATTTGTAATACAATAGCATAAGGCTTTTTTCTTAAAATTTAGCAAAGACTGAACCACACAAATAAAACTGTGTGATCAGTAATTGCACTCTGAACAAAGAAATACTCGGTTTCTGTTGTAAGATATTTTAATTAAGAGGTACTTTAAGTGGTTTACTAAAGTCAGAGAGTGGATATACTGACAACTTTGGTAACTCTACCAACCTTTGTTATTCAGCCTTCCCAAGAATGACTCCAACTTGTCAAGCTTCATATCCGATTCCAACTGCATATCAGGCCTGGCTTCAATTTCTAAGCAAACCAAAAAGTAAAACTTGTTAAATTACAGGAAAGAAAAAACCTGAGCATAGTTCAGCCATTTTTATTCCTTACCTTCCAAGGGCTTTGTGACTGGAGTGTTAGACTTCTGGCGGTTACTGAAGGGGGATGCTACTGGTGTTAGGGCACTTGGAGAAGCCAATCCTGCAGAAGAACACAGAACATAGGAAATGCAGTGCTGGGTGAGCCCAGGGGAAGCTATTTAGGGAAAGCAGATGAGCCTGGCCAGTCCCTCATACTTCCCCAGCCTCCACAATGGTCACAATATTAGGGATGGGAGACAGTACTGCGCTGCCTGCTCCTTACATCAGCAGCAGCCTCAGAAACTGCCCCGTTCACAAGAACAAAGCTTTGTTTCCAAGCGTCTGAAAGCAAGCTAACAAGACACATGCTTTCTCTTGAACACAGTCATTTTGCTTGTTTTCAAGGTAGCAGCAGTTCACTTGGTCTACATTTTGGACTCCAGCTCTACCACAAGCCACATATTGAAAACATGCAACTGTTCTGAACAAAAGCATACAGCTAGTAGGGAAACTACCAAGACCTTCACTGGCACCTTCACAGCCCCCATCCCCTCACATCCCTTTTCAAATTGAAACCCACCTCCATTAATACACATAGCAGGATGTGTCTGTCCTGTGAACATTGTCCCTGGATTAAGCAGTAATTCTTGGGCTCTGTTGATTTTTAAGAGCCCTTGGAAATGGCAGTAGAAATGGAAGTCACAGAGTCCCCACCATATCAAGCACTACTCCCTCCTTTTTTGTACTCTCCTCCCTCCTTTTCAGTAACTATCATCAAGCAATTCATTCTAGACCCAGTGGATAAAATTATTTGTTTTCAGTTCTCTTCATGTGAATCTATGTTGCTCCAGTAAGAGAAATGGCCTTCTATAGGTTTTGTGGTTTTTATTAGGTAGAAATGAAGAATTGCATCTATTACCTCTTGTTGCCTAGACTTTCAGTAAGTGGGGAAACTGTCATTTAAATTTTCCTCTAATACCTATTTTCCACCTAGCCATAGCTTACTAATTACTGAGCCACATACATTTAAGCCGCTGGTTATTTTGATCAGATTAAACCAATATTCTGCTGGAAGAATATACAATGACCACGTTTCCCCTGACTTTATTGCAACTCCTGGCAAGTCCTAATTGTCAAACACCAAGATAGATTTAGAATATAATTAAGCAGCTTTTCTGCAAACTGTTTTTTTCCCTGTTACCTAAGAGACACAAAATTCCATCAGATTTTAAGTCAACCAATAAAGCCTTTGAGATGTATTTGCAAGGACACAGCTCTTAGGCAGCTCTCCCAGGACCGATCACATTGAGACCACATTGAGAACAGCTTCAGATGTTACTAAAGGATCATCTTCCAATTAGGACCGAAAAAATTCTCAGCCATAAGAAGCAATTAATATACAGCATCTGTGCACATGTGTATGACAAGGATTTAATTTTGCATTACTTTCTTATAATATCTTAAATTAAAAATTCATCATGATAATTTATTATTTTAAGCAACAATAATAGCACACATCTGAATAAAATCCCACTTGGGCTACTTTAATTTACGTCACTGTCACTGGACTACCTTGCTTCTCCAAAAGAAAGATCATAGCACCTGAAGAGATCCTGCCAAGGTGTTAGTTCTTTTTCCCCATTAAAAAGAGCTAAAGCGCTCACTTTCTATTCCTTTCCAAAGAACAAACTATTTGGCAAAAAAAACCACAACCAATCTCAAAAAGGTGTCTGTGGACAGCTGAATAGTTTTTTTTGGCAACCTCCAAAATAGGTTAGTCTTTAAACACTGACCACTGGCATTTCTAGCAGAAAAACAACGTGAGCAGCAGCTAAAATATGTCACTAATATAATTTATCTGCTTATCTGCCATCCCACTTTTTTTTTTCTTTGTGGCTGGCATTTAACTCATGGTTCACGGTTGTTGTGTTTAATAACCAAGTTCTTGTAACAAAACAAAATTTAGTATTCATTAACCACACGACATCAGTTGTTCTCATTGTCCCAGGCACACTGCTTGAACATCTACATTTCTGCCATGTAAAGTCTTCAGAGACTCCTGTCCAGTTCAGAAGAATGGCTGCATCTGGAAACAGTGACTGAATTAAAGAGATCCCAAAAATGTCAACATTGCTCCCTTATCATTTCTACTCCCTGGTTTCAGGCAGAAGTCTTTTCAGTGATTTCTTCAGCCAAACACAGTATTTCAAGTTGTTGTCCAAAACAGCATCCAAAAAAATAACACATTTACTAAATATTCCCAGTGATCCTAGGAGTGGGGGAAGTGCCAGCAATAGCAACAACTGGATTTTGCAACTCTTTTCTAGACAGTGCACCTGGGTTTTGAAATGAAGAATAAATAAGAAAGAATAATCCAGCTGTGCCTTCTGGCTTGAATTAGAAGGAAAAACAAAACACATGACTGTTCAAGTGATTGACTATCAGCAGTCACAGAGCCCAGTTATAACTGGATGATAGTGCAACAGTGCGGAACAAATTGGATCAATACACAAGCCACAAGAAGCTAGAGTGAACAGTGTCATGACATGATACTTAGTTGAAGATAAACAGTCCTCTCTTGCTAAACATAGATGCTGTTTTTGCATATCTTTAGTTTGGCTTTATTTTGAGTAGACAGATGAGCAGTGGCTTATTTATATTAGGATCATTTTATCACTGACCTTTTTTTACCATTCGGCCAGCTACAGTGAACTGTGTGGAGTCATTGGCTGCTCCTTTACCCTTGGACTTCCAGGCTTCTTCTCGAGCTGTAATCAGATGCTTCCTTTCTTCGATGGTCATCTGACTCTCCTGGTTATCTGCCACTCTCTGCTTTTTTGGGGGGGAAGAGAGAGATGTTTAAAAAACAGATAAACTGACCAGGATAGAGCAAAGGACTGGCTGAACATTTTAACTGCTAGTTTTAGAGGGAAGAGCACAGGAGAACAAGTTACTAAAGGAAACTCACAGGCATGGCTTAGTGACTCTGACTCTAAGGAGCTTCATTGTCTTGCTGGTCATTAGACAGTGAAGATAAAGTTTTGGTCTATACTCTTTGACCTTTTCTTCCAACTACCAGCCAAGACAAATAGCATCCCTCCAAGCAAAGCAAAATATTACCTCAGTGTATAAATTTCCAGACCTTGTTGTTTTGAAGCATGACTTGCTACACTAGTGAGATCACTAAAGTGACTTTCAGCAGATGTTTTCAAGTGTGCAAATCTGCAGGTGGCACCAGGAATAACAATGAACTGTAACTGTGATTTCTGAATCACTCTTACAGTAAATCAATTCTCCAGGTAGGATTAGCAACCTTATCTCTCCAGAGGCTGCTTGCTTTAATTCCTGGGTCAGCTTGCTCTACTGACTATTTTTCCAATGACTGTGATAATCTCTTTTTTTTCCCCGTTCCTTTAGGTCACCCTCAGCTTTCCTTACTTGCTTTAGAGGTAGCAGCCAACAGCTTGAGTGATTAGGAGCAGCTAGGTACACTAAGTATCTTAGTGCCCTCCTAACACAATCGATTGATGATGGTACATTAGATAGGAAACAAACTGAATTTACATATTCTGCTGCAGCTAAGGCAAGCCAAAGAAACAATGCTTCAATGCACTTATCTTTAAAAAGTAGCAACATGTCAGGGCTTCTACTGCACAGAATCCAAGTATAAAAGTATTTTTAGGGCATGAGATTGTCAACTCTAGAATTACTTCCAAGTTGTGTGCCATTTGGTATTTTTTTTTACAACCTAGCTGCTAGAATTGAAAAAAACACATGAAAAATCTACAGCTTTATCAAAGCTCTATCTCATATAACCACAAAGGGGAAATAAAAAAGGACTCAAAAGCTTGTGAACATAAAGTAAACACTCTTCTCTGGTTTATGATACAGTATATAAAAACTGTTGTGACTGCAGAGGACACACTGTACCAGATTTTGTAGCTTTCAGCATTTATCAGGAACAGTAGCTTTCAGCCAGAAGAGTAAAGACAAGCCAAGGAGTGGCTTGTATGAGGACTAGGACATGAAAGCCCTCCAGTCCTTCCTCTGCTTCCATGTACCTCCACAGCCTCCTGCAGCTTCCTCTCAGTTTTGTAGGAAAGACAGCTGGGCAGCCAGGCACTGTGACTGCAAGTCATAAAATTAAGATAAAAGCTCCTGATTTTTCCCTAGGATTCTGAAGCATTCAATAGAAATAACAAGATCCAAGTCTATTCCATACTGCTTCCTCTTCTTTAAAAGCTTCTGAATTCTTTAAATAAAAGCACTGGAAGTAATAATCTCTGTTTGCTTCCACAAATCTCTACCTATTCCAACATCCCAAGCACTGGCACCACTGGAATGAACAGCTGGTAGAATAAAACTAACAGCAACATACTAAAAGAGATCTTGGCAAGAAATTGGTATCTACCTAATGAAACCACAAGTGAAATTTCACACACAAAACAAATGCTGTCAAGCTAGTGAGGATGCTGACTTCAATTACGGTATGACGGAAAGTGAGAGAGAGGCAGTAAGAAACAGTCACATGGATTTTTTGGTATGTATTATTTATATTTTTTTAAGTGACTAGGGACTCAATTTTGAATTTTCTCTCCAGAAAATACCTGATGCTCCAGAGTCTGCAGAGCTACTGGAAATTTTGAAAACACAGACCTGGAATGTGCATGTGTTAATCACTACAAATGTAAATTGTAAGAAAGACCACAAGTAATTTTGGAGCTTTGTCAAAAGATGAAAGCAGGTGTCTAAGGGTAGAAGAAAACATTTTCTTTTAAATAGAAGATTTCAAACTGCTCCATCAAGCAAAATATCATTGGAGGTCCTAAAAAGAAATAATAAATCAGGCTGAATATGTGTATGTTACAAAACTCAGAGCAATTCCATATTAGATCTCTCTTCCTAATGCATGAAGACTCCCACCCTACTCTATTCATTGAAAAATTAACAAAAAAAAATAATAAAAGAGAAGCTGAATAGACAGCAAACAATCCCTAACCCTGTTAATTTGCTTTAACAGTCCTGGTGAAAAACAAAAGTATGTGTGATACTTAAAAGAAAATGATTTTCTATAGCTGAAAAACTAACATGAGCCAGTGTAATTTCCAAAAAGAAGTTTGAGAACAAAGACACTTGGTAATTTGGAGCAGTTCAGAAAGCTTTCACATTTGCCCAATAACAGCATTTATGGAGGTATGAGTTGGTCAAAACACATTCTCGTTGGGAGAAAATATGGCAAGGAAGATAAAATGTACAAGCTTTTAGTGCAAATTTTATTTCCAAGTGAGAAAGATATGAAAGAAGAATAAATCTCCAAATGTAACTGTGACATTTCATAAGGGGAGCTAATGACCCCAAGAAAAGCAAAAACAATTTTAGTGTATTAAGATTAAATAAAATCTTACAAAGACAACAGTGCTAATTCTGGTTTTCCATTGAACAAAAAAATCATGTTACATTCAATGAAATATCCTAAATTTGTTATTAAGTACATATGCATGTGGTCATTTCTGTCTCTTGTTTCAGACAAACCCCAAACACTAACAGTGTTTATGTTATTTAAAAAACAACAACTTTGAAAATGGGAAAATGCATAGCACTGATAAAAGCTCAGATGATGTTAATGTTTAGAAGGTAGGTACAGGTCACACAAGCTGTGTCTTGTTACAGGCACTCATGAGAAGACTGCTGTAAGATAATAAAGAATCAAAGCACAGATGCCTAATTAATGTCATTTCATGTAGCATTATGGAAAACAGGTTTAATCAAAATGATAAGTTTGATTGAGATGAAGTAGTGATTAAATATGTTAACACAGTTACCTGTGATTTCTTGTATTTGACTTAATCACAGATGACATTCTGAGGTTTTTTGAGCAATATAACAATATCAGGGCAGCTTACATGCTGCAAATTAGTTAACTGACTGAAAAATTCTTTCTAAAGAAATCTGATTGGTCCCAACTTTAAATGTAATATTTTCAAACACATGGGAAAAAGATACAATTCTGCTGAGAAGACCCTCATGATGACACCAACTTAGAGAAGAATGATGAAGGTAAAGAAGAAATAATCACATAGATAGGTAAAAGGCTAGCAGAAAAAATCTGGTAAACCAGGCATTAAAAAGAAATATTATCTGAAAAGAGAAACAAGCAACAATCAGCCAATCAGGAAGACAGTGAAAGATGAGAAAAATTCCCATAGACAGTTCTTCTGAGCCAATAACCTGTACCTAGCTTATCCAGCTTATCCATTTTCAGCCCCTACGCTTCTACCCAGGATGCTGGAAATTTTGAAAGGTTTCAGGAATAGGCTAAAGTATTTTTTCAAGATTTGGAAAAAATCTACCTCAGATTAAATCAGATGCCTGTTTATCTCTACTGAAGAGAGCTGGGTCCTGCACTTGGGTCACAACAACCCCATGCAATGCCACAGGCTTGGGGAAGAGTGGCTGGAAAGCTGTCCAGCTGGAAAGCTGTCCCACAGAAAAGGACCAGGGGGTGCTGGTCGACAGCTGGCTGAACATGAGCCAGCAGTGTTCCCAGGTGGCCAAGAAAGCCAACAGCATCCTGGCTTCTATCAGGGATAGTGTGGCAAGCAGGACTAAGGAGCTGATTGGCCCCATGCACTTGGCACTGGTGAAGCTGCACCTTGAAAACTGTGTTCAGTTTTGGGCCCCTCACTACAAGAAGGACACTGAGGTGCTGGAGCCTGTCCAAAGAAGGGCAATAAAACTGGTGAAGGGTCTAGAGAACAAGTCTTATGAGGAGCAGCTGAGAGAACTGGGGTTGTTTAGCCTGGAGAAAAGAGGCTGAGGGGAGACCTTATTGCTCTCTCTACAACTACCTGAAAGGAGGTTGTAGCAAGGTGGGTGTTGGTCTCTTCTCCCAAGTTACAAGTGATAGAACAAGAGCAAATGGTTCAAGTTGTGCCAGGGAGGTTTAGACTGGGTATTAGGAAAAATTTCTTCACTGGAAGGGTTGTCAGGCACTGGAACAGGCTGCTCAGGGAAGTGGTTGAGTCACCATCCCTGGAGGTATTTAAAAGATGAGTAGGAGTGGTGCTTAGGGACATGGTTTAGTGGTGGACTAGGCAGTGTGCTAGGTTAACAGTTGGACTAGATGATCTAAAAGGTCTTTTCCAACAAAAACATCTATGATTCTATAAGTCTGAGAAGGAATTATAGACTCGGTGCAAGAACAAGAAACAGGGATTACTTTTCTCCCACTGCTTGGCTATTTTGAATGATATTGGTCTTTTCTAGCACTGTAACACTTTTCTGGAGGGTGTGCACTCCCTTGCTTCTTAGTGCCAGGTCATTCTAAGGAAGGGTCCACATCTAGGCCATGCTCCATTTCCCAGCAATTTTCCAGTCCAAGCAGTGTCCCCTTTAGGTCAGAAGAATGCAACTGAGAGTAATCTGTTAGCATGCTGATGTGTTGTTTGGGTTTTGTTTTCATTTTTAATGCAAGAATTAAGAGGATTCATTATTTTTCATATTGAAGGTCAAGACTGCCACTATCTGGGTAAGTCCAAACCAAGAATGAACATAAAAATAGTAATAATGATGTATTTTCAAAAAGGGGGTCCATGTAAAACTAATGTTATAATTTATATAAAAGAAGAATCCAAAAAGTATCTATTTGCTTTTTAATACAAGCAACGTGTCTAGTTTAGGCTCCTAAGGAGAAAAAATATCTAACTGTACCAGTATGGAAAAAGTTTCTGCATTATCGCAACTTTACATGGGTCCTGATGTAAAGAGAAAACTGAAGTACAAATGCATGTCTTCCTGTTCAAAGGTGGTTTGAGCAAAACAAGACATAC